GCTGTCCCTGTCCAGCGGTGGGACACGCTCTGGCTCGATACTCCTTGGTGATAACTGTCTCTCTAACCCCCAGCTTCAAAGCTAAAATCAGACAAAACACAGTGAAAACTGCTGCAGCAGCCCCCAAAAAAATAGAGTGGGTGAGGCTGAGCTCCTCGAGCAATCTCAGCCTCCTGACTCCAACCGTTCTCCCCTAAAATCCAACAGCGACACCACGCTCCCCGATGCTCCCCAGCCCCAGCTCACATCGTCGCTGGAGATGCTACAAAAACCAGAGCAAAAGTTTCATAAGGTGGGTTTTTTTTTTTGATCTGTCTCTCCGGAAAGAAGAAAAAAAACCTTCAAAGGGCACAAAAATATCCCCTGTAGCATGTGAAAGAGTTATTTTCATCCCCTCTTTCATAATTTAAGAGTCAGTAATGGGGTTGGATGAGGTTTTCAAAACTATTTGTGCGTGGGCTGTTAAATTTCAGTGTGGGAGGATGCCGCTTCGGGAGCGGCTCAGAAAAACCCCAAATAACGGCAGTTACCCAGCCGAGACCTCCCCAAACCTCCTGGGTCAGGGCAGCAACGTCCATCCCAACAGGGACATGGGGACACGGAAGCCAGCCGCCCCCCGGGCAGAAGAGAGACCATCCCGGATGCCAGCGTGGTCACCAGGGTCCCACCGGGGACATGGAGTCCCCAGATACAGCCTGGCACCCCAAAATAAAGAAGAAAGGAGTGTGCCCTAAGCTGGCAGCATTCCTGAAAGGTTTGGGGACAGGGACTAAGTGGCACTTTACCCCTTGCACATTCTAAGAGCAGCAGGGGCTCTGCTCCCCCCTACCTGCATCCTCAGCATCCCTGATACCCTGCGAGAGCATCGTTCCCCATGACGGAAGGGACTGAGCACATGGGACGGGATAGACACATATTTTTCCATCAAGTCATCCTCCTGTCTGCAATGACACCAAGCTGTGTGGCGCAGTGACACGCTGGAGGGAAGGGACACCACCCAGAGGGGCCAGGGCAGGCTGGAGAGGTGAGACTGTGCAAACCTCCTGGAGCTCACCAAGGCCAAGGGCAAGGTC